CACGCACGCACGCACGGAAAACCTGCTGATTATTATACCACGACACGCTAAGGCCTAAAAAAATCAATGATGTGTTTCCGAGAACGGTCTTGAAAAAATTAGGTAGGATAGGTAGGGAATATTTTTTTTTTTTTTTTTTAACGTTTCATTACCAGTAGTATATACTGGACCACGTTGTTCCTATGACATTGTATACAGAATGTCAGTGGTCCTGCCGCTTGCATAAATCGAGTTTCACCTGTACTGTAGTGAACAGGGACATCAACAATACCGCCGATAAGAGATCGACGCTGTTCGAGCTGCGTAGACAACTGGGTTGTGATTGTTGGGTCAAAATACGTCGATATACATTGCATCTATTAAACCGAAAATGTTTGCTTGTTCGTTTGTTTTCTTTTTTTATTGACATAATATCACATATTGACATATCAGATTTTTTTGATTTTTTTTGAAAATGGAAAAAAAGGGTCGGCCCCTATTTGCTAGGTAGGGTCGGGTTCTCGGAAACATCTTTTTTTTTTTTAGGCCTAACAGTTCACTACCGTAAGATCTTCGACGTAACTCTTCGAACCTCACCCAAACTCCCAGGTAGCGGTGGCGCACTCTGCTGGCTTGTCGCACCGTAGGGCGGCCCCGTCGGCGGTGGCGCCACCTGCTGCCGCGGGGGCGCCCCGTACTGTCCTGGGGGCGGCCCGGGGTGGGGCTGACTCATCGACGAAGGCGGCCCGTAGGGCGACGGCTGCTGCCCCTGTAACACGCAAAACACAAGCACGTCAAACGCGCGTTCCACTTACCATCATCATTACCGTTGCGGGGGGTGGTGGGAAGGAGCCACGGCGGGGGGAACGGGAAACGAAAGGAGTGTGATGTGAGGAAACAAAGGTGGTATTGGCTAACAAATCTAATAATACGGATAGGGGCCATACCGCAGCTAATTCTGAGGTTGATGGGTATTGTAGGATTGAGATTCTTTCATTCATGTTATAAATTGAGTCACTGGTTGTACAGAGAAACAGCATTACAATATTTGTACACAAACCACAGGACACACACACACCTGCTTGTACACACGCATGCACGCACATACGCACACATGCACGCACACGCACATACGCACACATGCACGCACACACACATGCATGCACGAACATGCACACACATATCTTTACTGCTGAATCTATAATAGCAGACGCAAGTTAACTGCGAACAACTATTAAATTATTCACGTATTTTGACGAATGCAACCCGACCAACGTCGAACGAACGAGGTATTGATTTGACTCGGCACGTACGATGTTGCCAGCAAAGAACATGGCAGGTGTACCTGCCGTCTGTAGATGTGCGCCAGTGACGCGTGCGTACAGGTAGCCAAGTAGCTGTTCCCTGAATTAATGATATAGCAGCAAGCAAGTTCCCAGCCACCAACACGCACCGCAGCGCACATCACAGGTGCGACGATCACAAACAACACGCCGGCGGCACGCGACGCACGCACGACGCAACGCACGCACGCCACACAACAACATACATGCACGCCAGGACGACCACGCACGAACATAGAGCGCGCACGTACGCACGCACCACACACACAGCACACACACATACACAAGCCTGTCCCGAAATTCAGTTTACGACCAGCTTTGATTGGAAAATGCCCGAGTCAGATGGTCGCGTGGTGTAAGAAAGCTTTACGATTCGACACTCTTCCGTTAAGTAGGGGAAGCATAACGAGGGCGAGCTGGGAAGCTGTGGGTGCATGCGGCAGTTTTTAAGAGCTGAGTTACATCGCCCGGGACTATTACTCTATTCAATCTTCTCGCCAGTCTGGCTGTCTGCGAAGGCGGCCTGTATTCATTTACGCTTCTACTGCCTGCTGCCTGCTACGCTGTTACTGCTGCTAACATACTGGCTACCGCCCGCTACTGCTGCTGCTGCTGCTGCTGCCTACCTGGCTGCTACTACTGGCTGCCTGCTACTGCTGCTGCCTGCTGCTGCTGCTGATTGCTTGCTACTTCGGCTTACTATCCTGACTCTTGCCTGCTGCTACTGCTGGCTGCTACTGCTGCCTGCCTGTCTGGCTGGATGCTGCTTACTGCTGCCCTGTTACTGCCTCTGTCTACTCCTTGCTACCTGCTCTGCCTACTGCTGCTGCTGCGTGCGTGCTGCTGATCTTCGTTACTGGCTGCTGCTGTCTGCTGCTTGCTTACTGCCTACCGCTGCTACTACTGTTATACTTACTACTGCCCTGCTTGCTTACTGCCTGCTTGCCTGTAGCTGCTGCTGCTGATGCTGTTACGTGCTGCTGCTGCTGCTGCTGCAGCTACCGCTGCTGCTACTACTGTTACGACTGCTGCTGCTCTGCTGCTGACGCGTGCTGCTGCTGCCTACTACCTACTACTACTTCTTGCTGTCTGCTGCCTGCTGCTACTGCTGCTACTACTGCTGCTACAGCTGCCGCCTCGCACCTTGGTCGTAACCCAGCAGCCGATATGCCGCCCGCAACAAGAGAGCAATCAATAACCCCAACCACGCGGCGACAATTGTCATAGACAACTTCGCCCGACGAGGAACGACAAACAATCTGTCCGTGACCTACCTGCATAGGTGGCGCTGCACGCGTGGCTCCTGCATGCGGCGGGCCGTTGTAACTTGGGTATGACACTGACGTAGGTGGCAGCACGTGGTTCCCCTGAGACATCGGCGGCCCCGATGGCGGAACAGACATAGGTGGCGCCGCCGAACGTGGGCCGGACATAGATGGCGCTCCCGATGGTGGGCCAGACATAGGTGGCGCTCCCGACGGCGAACCAGACATAGGTGGCGCCGCCGAACGTGGGCCAGACGTAGGTGGCGCTCCCGACGGCGGACCGGACATAGGTGGCGCTCCATACCCTGTGCATGGGAGAGACGCGTTCTGATTGGATAAGAGATGAGGACGGGATACGTAACACTCTAGCAAAACCGGAATCACTAAAATGGAATCTCAAAACAGGAATCACAAAACTGGAATTGCAAAACCCTTCCGCCGGCTTCATGTGCCGTAAAACCGATCCCGTCCGCGGCAAGAGCTCTGCTGGCAGCTGCCATGTTTTTCTTTTACTACTTTTGTTTTTGTCCGTTTCGACTCATTATCAGCCACATGCTTCATTGGTAACATCTCTCTCTCTCTATCTCTCTCTCCACACACGCACACACGCACGCACGCATCTCCTCTCTCTCNCATCGGTAACAGAGGAGGTAGCATCACATACCTGTAGTTGGAGGAGGAGGTGGTGGTCCGGTGTAAGCTCCCGGAGGTGGTTTCACACCCAGCTGCTGCTGCTGCTGTCCTGCAGAGAGAAACACACAGAGGTTAGTTAGTAGCCTCACCCTCACACACGCAGCCATACTGCACACCCTTACACACGCAGCCCTGTACCCTGCATCCCCCTTACTGTGTGACAGGACCACCTACACACCCTTACACACGCAGCCCTGTACCCTGCATCCCCCTTACTGTGTGACACGACCACCTACACACCCTTACACACGTGGGCATCCCTGTACCGCTGCACCCCGCCTTACTGTGGTGACCAGGACCAACCTTACACACGCCTTACAGCTAGCATACCTGTACCTGCATCCACCCCGTTACTGTGTACAAGGAGGCACGCTAGCACAGCTCTTTAACTAGGCAGCTCTGTAACCCTGCACCGCGCTTACTCGTGTGACAGGAACGCACCTACACACCCTTACACTAGCAGTCCTGTACCTCGACATGCCCCCTTATGTGTGTGCCAGGACACCTGACATACCCCTTAACTAGCAGTCCTGTACTCTGCATCCCTTTATGTGTGACAAGGACGCATACCACCTTAAACACGCAAGCCTGTACCCTGCATCCCCCTTGACTGTGCTGACGAGGACCACCTACACACCTTACACTGGGCATCCCTTACCCTGCATCCCCTTACGTGTGTGACAGGACACCTAACCAGCCCTTACACTGGCATCCCTGTACGCTGCATCCGCCCTTGACTGGTGGTTGACAGGACCGACCTCACACACACTTACACTAGCAGTCCTGTACCCTGCATCCCCTTACTGATGTGACAGCGACATCTCCACACCCTTAAATGGACAGTCCTGTACCTGCATCCCCCTTACTGTGTGACACGACCACCTACACACCCTTACACTGGCAGACCGCTGCCACGCAGTCCAACCCCGTGCTAGCAGACACATCTGTAGAACAAACACCTGTCTATAAAGAACAAACACCTGTCTATAAAGAACAAACACCTGTCTATAAAGAACATTTTTCGCATTTTCTTTGAGTTTTAGAGTTTTAGTGGTCGTTCAGTAGGAGTCGTACAGACTGTATGGCAGATTTTGTTGCATTCACCTTGTGGTACAGGGTTTATAGTATAAACTGTGTTGTATAGACTTTGTTGTATAACGTTTGTTGTATAGAGTTTATATTATAGAGCGTGTTGTATAGACTGTGTTGTACAGACTGTGTTTGCGTAAAGTTTGGTAGTATAGACTGTGTTGTATAAACTGTGCTTATTATAACAGACAGAGTGTTATAAACTGAATAAACTATACAGACTTTGTTGTATAGACTGTGTTGTATAAAGTTTGTGGTAAAGGGCCGGACACACTAGGCGATTACATCGGGCGATGAAATCGCCCTTAATGCCTAGTGTGTCCACTCAATGCGCCGCCGGATTTCATCGCAACGATTCATCGGGCATAGATCAAATCGTTTGATATTATTCGGCGATTTTGTCGCCGATATTTGTGGCCGATTTTTGTCGGCCGCAGTTTTGATCGCCGATTGTTGTCGCGATTTTATGTCGGGCGCCGATTTGTCGGCCGATTTCTCTGCCTAGATGTGTCCGGCGCGATAACATCGCCGATTGTACAGATCATGCAGCCAAATTGGACGACAAGGCAGCATGCATAATTTCGCGATCACTGAACAGAGTGAACAACAAATGCACTCAGACACAATGCGCGGAAATCACAGTGTTAGATCGGCCTAGTGTGTCCACTCGACTCGCGCGATAGAGCCCGATGTTTATTCCCGCGATTTATATCGCCGTATTTAATACGGGGCCTAGTGTGTCTGCCCCTTAAGGGACGACACACCAAGGCGATGCCATCGCCCGACGCCATCGGCCGATGGCTCCGCAGTCCGTGACATAACAAAAGGGAAAAAAAAAAACCCCAGGCCGATTTTCATCGGCGATGGCATGCGGCCGAATGGCATCAGTATCATTGAACAACTCTGCTTGGCTGACTGAATTGTAAATCGGGCGATGTACTCGCCGGTCGCGAACACACCGAGGCGGATGGCATCGGCGAATGCCATCGGCCAACTTGGCATCGGACGATAATATCAAAACGTTTTGATCTGTGCGATGCCATCAGGGCGATTGAACGTGACACACCCGGCGATGTTTCAACGCGCGATGGCATCGGGCCGATGGCATCGGCCGATGGCGATGGCCTAGTGTGTCTGGCCCTTAAAGACTGTGTGTTTCAGCAGCATCCTCAGAGAGTAAACTTTGCAGTTTATGATTTGCATACCGTTCGCGGTGGGCGAACTACGACTTCGAATGGCATAAACTTTGGGCGGTACAGGACTTTGATGTGTGAAACTTACTCGTTGCATAAACTCCCGAGAATCAAAAACTTTTGGCTGCGTAAACTTCTGAGGTAAGAAGTTTGATGTGGCAAGTGCACTCGGAGTTTAAAACATCGGCGGTGCGGACTTTGATGTCTGGTCTATGTGTAGTGTTAGCATCGCGCTGTGGAGGCAGAGCCAAGTCACTCTCACTATTGCTGTGTAATGTCTGATGTTTCACAAACTACTGGTGTGAGACTTGCAGCAGTGCAGAAAGTTTGCCATACGTAGCCACGTGCAACATGACCATCTCCGCTCTCGCTCTCCTCTCTCCTCTCTACGTCTCATCGTCCCTGGTTCTTTTACTCCTCTTCTCTCCACCTCGCCCCCACCTCTTTCTCTCTCTCTCCCCGAAACATCAAGAACCGAGAAATGCAAACTCAGCCGCCGCCTGTTGTCAGAAACAAAATTAGTCCTTTAACAAAAACTTCAGTCTTAACATTAACCTTTTTCTTATAGACTGTCGATCGACAGAAACATCATAAAGTTACGAGTTTCTCATGTTTACGCATGGTTCGGTCCACGAGGAAACGTTAAGATTAAATGTCAAGACTAATTTTGTTTCTGACAACGGGGCTCCTGGTGTTTGAAATGAATACATATTTCAACATGCGCTTTCCCCTTCCTGCTCCCCACCCCCTCCCTACCCCTCTGACTCCCTGAATCCACACATATACACACATATAGCCGTGCAGGATCATGAATCATTGACCACCCTGACACACTTCCATCCCGGCGCAGACGGTCGCCGAAAATCACGGATCTCGGATGGATCCGGTTTCGAACTAAGCTGCCGCATCAATACACGACTCCCCAGCTACATGCGTGGGTAGAGAAGGGGAGGAGGGAGAAGGAGGAGTGTGAGAGGAGGAAGGATGAGGAGGAGGGAGGAGAGGAGGAGGAGGAGTGTGAGGGGAGGAGGCAGGCCGAGGACGAGGGAGGGGGAGGAAGATGGAGAGGAGGAGGCAGAAACGAAAGGAAGAGGAGGAAGAATAAGGAGAAATCACACATCTAAGAGTTATGGTTTCTACGTATGAGTTACCCTTCCTCGCACAGACAGTGTTTTTTTTTGCTTGGCTAGCAGCAGTAGTTAAGTCGTCAACCGGGCTGTTAATACGTGGATGGTCGCGTTAACTGCTACTGCTAGCAAGAACATGATCGTGCGAGCACGCTGCCATACACGATGCGGATACGTAGATTACATGTTATTCCTGTACACATGCTACCATGAAGACAAATGGACGATTAAGAAGAAGTTTGTCGTCATTAACTCCTGACGCTACGCGTGGGTTGAATTCACGTAGGCCAGGCTACGCCACACGCACGCATGCTCCAACGCCTCTTCCATCTCCTAGCAGTGCTGAACTCGAGTGTAAAATCGCATTTTACACAACACTGAGAAAAAGCCGTGGTAAAAAATTGTTATGGTTAGCTTTACGGTAGTGCCTAATTTTGTTCTATAGTTGCGTGAGATGCGGAAACGTATACTATTACTATATGAGCGTGTAGATTGAGATGGTGATAATGGTACGTTTACTCTCGCGCTCTGCCTTCGTCTCTGCGCTCGCTCTCTCTCTGCACTCGTCTCTCGGCTGGCTCTCTGCTCTGCTTCTCTCTTTCCTCTCGCCTGGCTTTTGGTGCGCTCTCTCTCTCTTCTCCTCAGGTTCGCTCCTCCTTCTGGCTGCTCTCTCTCTCCTCTCTTTTCTCCCACGTTCTGCCTCTCCCGCCTCTCTCCTCTCATCTTCTCTCCCAGCCTTCTGGTCTCTACTCTCTGCTCTTTCTCTCCCTCCGTTTCTGGCTTGCTCTCTCTCTCTTTCTGCTCCACCTTCTGCACTCGTGCTCCTCTCTCTCTCTTGCTCTCTCTCTCTCTTCTCGTCTGCTCTCTCCTCTTCTGGCTCTGCTCTCGTCCTTTCTCTGCGCTCCTTCTGCCTCTCATCGTCTCTCTTTCTCTCCTCCTTCTGGCTTCTCTCTCTTCTCATCTCTTCTTCCCTCCCTGGCTCTCTCATCTCTCGGCCTTCTCTCTCTCTGCTGCTGTCTCTCTCACTCTTTGTCTGATCTCTCTCTTCTCTCGCCTCGCTTGCTGCGCTTCTCTCTCTGCTCCTTACTGCTCTCTCTCTCTTCTCTCCCCTCCTACACACACAGCACGTCCCAACGTGGTCACACACACACACACACGTACACGTGTTAGACATGCGTTCAGCTTTCAGCACGCGCGTACACACACACACACACACAAACAAACGCTCGTGCGCACACATAACGATACATCCATCAAGATCCATCTACACTAATCACCCACGATACGAGGAATTTCGGCAGTTAGGGTCATGATGGAAGGCTGTGGATGCGGTCTTTGAACTCATGTCGAATCAACGCGTTGCTAACACCCCCACAACCGAGCATTGCCCTCGCATAACAGAGCGCATCACCTCTCTCTC